CGTCGGCCTCCGCTCGGCTCGCGGCCCCGAGGCGGCGGCTGCGGCGGCGGCACCAGCAGCGGCGGCCGCCGGCCGGGAAAGGGGCAGCGGCGGCGGCGGCGGCGGCGAAGAAGGAGGAGGAGGAGGAGGAGGAGGAGAAGGAGGAGGAGGAGGAGGAAACCCGGAAAAGGGGCCGCGCTCACTAGGAGCGGCCGCCGCCCGGCCCGGGGCCGCCCAGCCTCACAGCGCCCCCTGCAGCGCGGGGGGACCGGCCGGGCGGCGCCGGCCCCGCCCCCCGCCCCCCCCCCCGCCGCCCCCCCCCCCCCCCCCCCTCCCCCCGTGGCCCCCCCCCCCCGGCGGGGGGGGCCCCCCCCCCCGGGGGTTCCCCCCCCCCCCCGCGGACCGCTGCCTTTGAGACTTGCGGGTCGTGGGCCCTTTCAGGACTGTCCTGGCGACCCCTACCTCAAGCCCTCCACCCTCTCGTCATCCAGAGTTTGCCCGCCCCGTACCGACCCCGTTCTGACCCTCCTGTCGACCAACCCGTCCCCATCAAGCCCCTCCCAAATTAGTCACTCTTACCACTGAGAACATCCCCCACCTCAAGATTTCTCCCTCCCTCCCGGAGACACCCCCTCTTTCTCCGATGGACCCTGCGCTATCACCCATGGATTCCTCAACCTCAAGACTTCCCCTTCTTCCTTCAGCCAGAGCCTTCCTCACAAAACCCTTCTCTTTCACTTGCCCCCAAATCCCTTCCAGAGCCTTCCCTGAGAACCCGCTGAATGCTTACTTCTGTCACTTGGTTAAGCTGGAGTGGGCCACGTAGCTCGTTGTAAAGTTCCTATTTTTCCCTTTGAAATTCATAAGCAGTCTGTGGGGAGACACTTTGAGACTCTGAAAATGTCCTGTTTTGGGGGGGAGGACAGAACGGAAGAAGAATGGTGAGTCCCGCCTGAAGGGACCGGCGAGCGGTTGGGCATGGATTGAGGGTGAGGTGGCCAGCCAAACTTTGTCCTATTTTATTATGTTGCTTTTTAGCTCCTAACACTCTCCACTCTTTGATCTTCTGGGCCCCTCTTTTATCTTGCTTTCCCATTCCGTATCCTCTATCAACAGCACTTCCCACTCAGCCCGGGTGGCTCTGACTCCAGTCTTTTTTTATATTGTTTTCTAGGTGAGACCCTGCTTCTCCTTCTTGATATAGTTGAGAGCATAGGCTGTAGAGTCAACTCCATCCTAGCTGGTGCTGCTTATAAACTGTGTGACCTTGGGCTGATAACTTAGCTTCTCTGTGCTGCAGATTTTACAGCATAAAAACAGTAATGGCCTTCTTCACAGGGCTATAGGGAGACTTAGACAAGGCAAACCATGTAAAACACTTAAAACGAAGTGCTCAGTACCATTATTAGCAGACCTGGAGGCTTTCTCCTATCACTTTTCCCTCCCTGAGACCACCACGTGGTCAGCTTTTGGTTCCTTCCACCCTCCAAGCTTGGCCATGGCTGCCTCCTCTCACTCCATCCCCACCTTTCCCATGCCTGCTGCCTTCTTTCTCCTCCTCAAGTCTCACCTTTTAGGCTCATTTTATTTACTTGGGTGTGGATTATATCTAGTTGTAAACAGGGAACGGCGTGAGCTCCTGGTCCTCCTACTCCGCCATCTTCCCAAACTCTCTTTAAGTTCATTTTATAATTTTTTAAGGAAGTTTTATTATTTTTTAATGGATTTTTTTTTTTTTATTTAGGTGCACCTGGCTGGCTCAGTTGGAAGAGCATGCCACTCAATCTCAGGATTGTGAGTTCGAGCCCCACATTGGGTGTAGAGATTATTAAAAAAAATTTTTTTAAAACTTTAAAAATATATTTATTTATTTGAGGGGGGTGGGGCAGAGGGAGAGGGAGTGGGAGAATGTTAAGCAGACTCCTGGCTGAGCGTGGAGCCTGACACGGGGCTCAGTCTCACAACTCTGAGACCATGACCTGAGCTGAAATCAGGAGTCGGACGCTCAAGTGACTGGGCCACCCAGGCGCCCCATATTAAAAAAAAATTTTTAATGGATTTTTTATTTAAATCTGTACTTTTTTTTAAAGTAAGCTCTACACCCAACGTGGGGTTCAACTCAAAACCCCCAAATCAAGAGTCACATCTCTATGGACTGAGCCAGCCAGCCAGGCACCCCTTTAAGTTCACTTTAAATGGTAGAGTTGATACTTCTCTATCTTAGCACTCTATCCTTCAGAAAACTGCTTATTTTGTAATTGTAATTCTTTCTCCTCCAGTGTAAAACAGCATGAGAGCAAGAACTGAATCTGGATGCTCACCACTGGCTCACCAGCATTCGCCACATTTAAGACTTTCCACGAATACAGTGTAACCCCATAGATCACTAACTAATTAGAAAGTAGAGGTCACTGCTTTAACCAAATTTAAGACAAGTCAAATTTAACATCATCAGTAAGGGATCAACAGACCCTGTGATGTGATGCACCAAGAAGGGACATGGCATCTGCCCAAAATGCTTACCTTGAATCTCATTATGAGGACACAATCAGACAAATCCAAACTGGGAAACATTCTGCAAAATAGCGAAGTCTGGTACTCTTCAAAACTGTCAATGTCACAAGAGAAAACAACACAAAAGAAAACGAAATTTGGAGCAGTGCTCTTGACTAAAGGAGCCTGAAAGAGAGAACTGTGTAATTCTGGATTCAATCCTGAATGAGAAAGGTAAGAAGGAAAGGAGGAAGGGAGGGAGGGAGGGAGGGAGGGAAGGAAGGAGAAATACAGCAAAAAGGACCCGAGCGAATGGGACTACTGGGGCAATTTGAATATAGGATGTACATTACATAATAGCATTGCATCAATGTTAAATTTTGTGAGTGTGAGGATTATCTTGTGGTTATGCAGGAGAGTCTCATGATCTTAGGAGTTACATGCCAAGTGTTTAGGATGAAGTATCATAATATCTGCAATTTATTCTCAAATGGTTCTCCAGAAGAATGTGGGTTCCCTAGAGCACAAGCATACATGGGAAGAGGAGTGCAATTAGGCAAAGATGTTGACAATTGTAGAATATAGTTGAAGACTATATGAGCTCACAACTTTTCAGTAGGTTTGAAAATTTTCAAAACAAAAGCTGGAAGAAGATAAATAAAGCATTTATGGAGTAAGTAGACTTTGGAATTTAAGTCCAGAACCGGCAAACCTCTCTAAATGTTTTCCACGCAAGAAGGCACATTCTCCAGCTCTTAAAGCAGCGTTTGGATTTTTTTCTGACAAGTCCCTGTGAACTAGTCTAGGCCAGAGGTTCTTAATCCTGGGCCTCTGGATGAGCTGCCTGGTTTCCAGGAGTCCCTGACACAGTAGGCAAAATGTGTGGGTAACTGCGCGCGCGCGCGCGCGCGCGCGCGCGCGCGCGCGTGTGTGTGTGTGTGTGTGTGTGTGTGTGTGTGCGCGCGCGCGCGCGCGCATTCTTTCCTTAGCATCCATCAGATTCTCAAAGGAAGCTGTGACCCAAAAATGGTTCCAAACCCCTGGTCTGACTACTAGGTCCAACCCTAGTGGGGGCTCCATTCCTTGCCTCCACCCCCCCCCCACCTCTGACCCCACACACCCTCTCTGCACCTTCCTCTCTTCCCTCACCACCTAACCCACACCCATCTCACGTAACCTGCTCTCACACCTGCTGGGATGCCGAGGATTCACCCACACATCACTCTGGTGCAACGCGCTCCTGGATTTGGCTGACACTTCGCTAACTCAGCCCTGAAACCTGCAGCCGGTCCTCCCACAGCAGCACTGAGTACATTTTTATGATGTGTTGGTAGGTAGGTTGGGCTCCCCATGGCCTTGGTGGGGACCAACCGACTCTCCTTCCTGCCAGCCCACCATACGGTGTGCTTGATGTGAATTAAGATTGGCAGTTGGGGATGGTACCAATGCAGTTCTCACTGGAGTAAGTCTCACTAGGATATGAAGAGGGACAGGCCGGTGGCTCTGCAGGGTTGGGTGACAGTGAACTATAATCGACTTTTCCTAATTACCATGTGTGTGTGGGTTTAGGGGTGAGTACAATCCAGGATGACACAAGGGAGAATGAAAGACAGCATCTTGGGTCAAATAGGCCAACAATTTCATACCAACTCTTATGCTCCCAAATTCTATTCTGAACACACACACACACACCACAAAAATGTAAAACCCTCAGAAGAACATCTTCTGTCTTCACAAGGTCTATTTCTAGAACATTTGAGAGAGTTACAGGCTTTTATCTCATACGGCTGGTTCTAAGAACTTAGTCCAAGAAAATAATATAAATTACGATCAAAGAAATATTAAGAGTGGTGACAATTCATGTGTTCAATATCACTGAATCCTGCAAAAACCCTGAGGTTAAGACCCACTGAATTTGTACTTTAAATGGGTGAATTATATGGTATGTGAATTATAGCTTAAGAAAACTGTTAAAAAAAATGCTGAGGTTGGAGTTGTAAGGATCCTGTTTTTGCAGTTGAGGAAACCAAGACTCTAATGACATGGAGAATTGAGGCAGAGCCTGGATTTGAACCAAGGCTTTTCTTTTTTTTTAAAGATTTTATTTATTTATTCATGAGAGACAGAGAAAGCGAGAGAGGCAGAGGGAGAAGCAGGCTCCCCGCTGAGCAGGAAGCCCGATGCGGGACTCGATCCCAGGACCCTGGGATCACGACCCGAGCCGAAGGCAGACGCCCAACGATCTGAGCCACCCAGGCGCCCTGAACCAAGGCTTTTCTGACCACCAACTCCATTTCTGTAACCCTTTTCTAATTCTACATATCCACCTCCCGAAAGAACCAAAGACATTCATCATGAAAATCATGAAAGACAAAACAACCCAAATATCCCAAATTGCAGGACCACTTAAATAAATTGTGTTATATCCCTTGCAGTACAGTATTAGGCACCATGAAAAATTATGATTATCCTGAACTTTTAGTGATGAGAAAAATTTTATTATATAAGGCTTTTTAATAAGGGTTATTTATTTTTTTAAAAGTATTTATTTGAGAGAGAGAGAGAGAGCGTGTGCACGCGCGAGCACGAGCACAAGTAGGGGGGAAGGAGTCGAGGGGGAAGGACAAGAAGGCTCCACACCAAGGTCGGAGCCGGACTCGGGGCTTGATCCCACAACCCTGATATCATGACACGAGCCGAAATCCAGAGTCAGGTGCTTAACCAACTGAGCCATCCAGGCAACCCGGGAAAGGTTTTATAAAAGTTACATAAGTAATGGTGGTAAGCAGAACAATGCCACCCTCCCTGCCTTGTTCCCCAAAGATAATCTGCTTCCAAATCTCTGTAGCCTGTGAATATGTGACTATGTTACCTTACTTGGAAAAAGAGACTTTGCAGATGTGATTAAATGCAGGATTTTGAGGGGCACCTGGGTGGCTCAGTCATTAAGCGTCTGCCTTCAGCTCAGGTCATGATCCCGGGGTCCTGGGATAGAGCCCCACGTGGAGTTCTCTGCTCGGCAGGGAGCCTCCTTCTCCCTCTCCCTCTGTCTGCTGCTCCCCCTGCTTGTGCTCTCTCTCTCTCTCTCTCTCTCTCTCTCTGTCGAATAAAAAAAAAATCTTAAAGAAAATAAATGCAGGATTTTGAGATGGAGAAATTATCCTGCATTATAGCCAGGTGGGTTTAATGTTGTAGGGATCCTTAAAGGGAAGAGGGAGGCAGGAGCATCAGAGGTAGATATGGTGGTGGAAACAGAGGTCGGGAGGGTGGGACTGCTGGCTTTAAAGAAGGAAGGGGGCCATGGGCCAAGGATTGTGGGCAGCCTTTGGAAGCTGGGGAAAGGCAAAGACACGAAAATCTCACCTAGAGCCTCCAGAAGGAATCCAGCCCTGCCAACGCTTTGATTTTAGTCGAATGAGACCCATTTTGGACTTCTGAGCTCTTGAACTCTAAGATTATAAATTTGTGTTGTTTTATGCCACTAAGTGCGGTGATTTGTCATGGCAGCAATAGGAAACTCACTCAGTAGTATGTGGTTACTAAACATTTACCGGGAAATGCACAAGTCCATGAGGTGAAAGTTGCTCTTCTTTGCCTTTCACATGTCCACAAGCTGGCCTGTATCTTTCAAGGCCCTTTGCTATGCGGTAAGGACAGAGACTACACGCATGTTCTTTTGTATTGCTTCACTTAGTTTCAAGGCAGGATTACTGGAGTGTATGTATAGATTCAGCAGCTAAGTTCTCGGGCATGTAACAAATGCATAGGAAAAGAACTGGAAGGAAATACACTAAAGTGCCTTTGAGTCTTTTAGAATCGGAAAAAATAACCAATGTTTACAGGTTGTTGACTATCCTAGCCTTTCCCCCAACAACTTGTGATTTATGGGGGCTTTTTGCCAGTTGGGAAGGGAATAGAGGGTAGGGCAGTAGGGTCTTAAATTCTCTCTGTAACCAAGGAGTCTACAGGAAATGCTGGATCCTCATGTCAGGGTGTCTTTGAGGCTCCAGACAGGTGAATGAAATAGGTTAATTAGGCCCCCACTGGCTGCACTTCACCTGGGTACGTTTATATGCAACTTGCTTAGAACTATCACTTTTTTATTCTTTTTTCCCCCTGATTATCCTTAAAGGGTGACCCACTCAGCTCTCACCCAGAAAGTGCCTCTGAGGGGACTGGGGTGGAGGGCGGAGAGGATGGGGCAGAGCCTGCCCAGGCTAGAAGTGATAGAAACAGAAATTTTTGGCTGGTGCTCCAGTGAGGTCTCCTTTTATTCAATGTTGCCCAACTGAAAAAGGGGGCACGCTTTTAGCCCCTATCCCTCAATACCCACCTATTCTCAGAAGCTCAGTGAACTCAAATTCTCCTAATACTCTCAGGGAAGGATGGATAAACTCATTTGGGCTAAACTGTGAATAACAGCTTCCTAAAAGGGATTTGTATTTCAAGGGGGTCAGGACTAAGAGGTCTTGCAGAACGGGTCCTTAATCCTGGATGGGGGGGGTATTTTGGAGGGTAGATGGTACTTTCTCTGGGGGGGCCACACCTGGTCTGGGAGGTTGTGGGAAACATTTGGAGGGAAGTGGGCTAACCTCTAAAGTAGCAGGCCCCGGGCCCACGGTAAGACCATTGTACTTCACAGACATTCATCTGCTTCCTGCCCAACTGCTCTTCCAAATTGTCCAGAATCAACCATCACCTTTCATGCCCCTTCTGTCACCAAGCCAGCTGGCTTTCTGTCCAGATGACAGCTCCCTTCTAGCCTCCCGTCTGGGCGCCCATAGCCTTTGCCCTGATTTAACCCCATTTTCTGAAGTGATTTCTGGGCTGTCAGACTCACCACGTGATAACTCAGGATCCTTAACCTGGGTCAGTGGCTAGGACTCAGTATGTTCATAAACTTAGATGAAAATAATTACATCCTTATTCACAAACCTTTAAATGAAATTTCGCATTTCTTTCCATGATGGATATAGTAAACACTCAAAAACAAAAATAAAAACCAAACACACGAGCCGTACCTGAGTTTGTCACCACTAGAAATCACAGATATTTGCTTATCACTTTGCAGTTGGTGTTATTTTAAAGTAGAAAAATTTGCTCTCCAAAAGGACCAGCTGCTCTAATTGTTGGAGGCAAAAGAATATGAAGGAACCTCCTAACATTGGGCTTTACCCCCTAGGTTCTAACCTCCACTCTTCCTCATCTTAGGGTATCAGTTTTGAAGATTCTGAGCCTGAGATTTCATAGCTTTTTATTTCCCCCAATAGATACTAGTGACTGTATCAAGGAATTAAAACACACACACACACACACAAAAAAAGCAACAGCAACAAAACTAAAAGATGTTGCACCTGCAGGCTCTAATTTTTGTTTTAGGAAATGCATCATTTCTGGGTACTTGCAGAAGTCTTCCTGTTTGATTGGAAGATGACCTGGGAAGCCCAGATGCTAGCGATGGGCCCTGGGAATGTGCAAGCCTGGCAGCTCGTGTGCCACATGGGCACAGAGGACAAGAGAAGTCTGCATAGAGGAACTGCCAGCCCCAGAAAGCACAATCCAAGCCCAGGAGAATCCAGACTCCACACCCCTAAGGTGGGGATCAATCCCTTCACCAAGAAAGTAGAGGAGGGGACACAGGTGACAGTGGCAAAGATGGTTGGGTTAAGGAGGTCCTGGCCATAAGCACACCAGACGTCGGTGGCATTGTGGAACCATTGTGGAGTCAAGCAGGGACTCCCCCTAATTCGAACAAGAATCGTGTTATTCTGCAACACCCTAATCCTTAGACCGTGTTCTAATTTTGCAATTTGCCCCAATAATGTCCTTTAGAGCCAAAACATTCCCCTCCAGAACCACAGAACCACGGTTAGTTGGCATGTTTGTTTTTTTTTTAAATCGAGATATTTTGACATTATTAGTATTAGTTTCAGGCATACGACATAATGATTCAATACATGTATGTGCCATGAAACAATGATTGTATGAAGTCTAATTAACATCCAGTGCCACACATAGCTATGGAGTCCTTGCTCATTCATCTCAGTTTAGAGAAGTTCCTCCATTTCTTGTCGAAGATGATTATCAGTTATTTTGTAATCTGTTCCTCAATTTGGGGCTATCCAATGTTTTTTCATGATTTGATTTAGGTTATATATCTTTGGCAGAAATCATAGAAATAATACATATCACAGGAAAATATGTATATAATCATCAAAATAACATATATGTCACAGAAAAATACATACAGGTATATATATGTTATATATATTATATATATATAATCATGGAAATAATGCTGTGTACTTCTCATTGCCTCCTATCAGATGGTGGACAATTTCTATTTGTTCCATTACTTGGGGTATTAACTTCAATCACTTGACTAGCATCTGCCAGATTTCTCCATTGTAAAGTTACTCTTTTTTACCTTTTTAAGAACTATTTTATGGGGAACTATTTTATGGGGAGCTCTTTTGAAAACTGTGTAATTATCCTGGTCCTCATCAAACTATTTATTCATGTTGGCAGGGACTTGCGGATTTCTAGTTTATTCAGTGAGTTAGAATCGATTCTTGTCATTAGTTATGTTGATGTTCAAGCTGTCCTTTATTTGGCTAGTGGGAGACCCTTTAAGCTAGATCCTGTATCCTTTTGATGTGCCACACCATCCTTTGAGCACTTTCTTAGTGGGTTTTTTGTTTGTTTGTTTGTTTGTTTGAGATTTTATTTGTTTGAGAGAGAGAGAGAGCATGAGCGGAGAGAGGGAGAAGCAGGATCCCTGCTGAGCAGGGAGCCTGATGCGGGACTCGATCCCAGGACCCTGGGATCATGACCCGAGCTGAAGGCAGACGTGCAACCAACTGAGCCCCCCAGGCACCCCAGCACTTTCTTAGTTTTTGGCACAAAGAATGTTCCAGGCTTTTCTTGAATTTTCCCTGCCCCAGGCCTGGAATCAACCATTTCTCCAAGGGGGTCCTGATTCCTTTTAGTGGAGAATAATATTTGGAAGTCAGGATCTGGACATGAGGTATGTTCATTGTTATTGGACTATTGCTCCCAGGCCTTCTCCAGTGGCCCGAGCTAGAGAATATATGTATGCGTGCGTGTGCGCGCGCGCGCGCACACACACACACACACAAACACACACACATCCATTTCCATCTGTATTTATTTCTATATATATCCGTGTCTATTGAAAACTATGAGTTCACTCCATATCTCTGATTCCAATCTATCACCATAAAATTCATTCTCGTCTTCTCCCTTTCTATATTCCTACCCCTCTTTTCTGACCGTGAGCAATCTGGCACATGCGGGGCTCTTTTAGGTGGAGGAGGGTGTGCTAAGAAAGGCCTCTCTGAGGAGGTGACATTTAAGCTGAGACTTGAAGGAAATGAGGGCAGAAGCCATGCAGATTCCGGGAGAACGGTGTTCTAGGCAGAGCACGGCAGGCAGCCGGACTCCTGCGGCTGAGCCAGTGGGCAGATGAGGTCATCCAGGTAAGAGAAGGTAGTTCAGGTAGCACTTTGTAGACCATTGTAAGGACTTTGGTTTTGATAGTGACAAAGATAGGAAGGCAACAGAGCATTTCAAATACATAGGCACGTCCTTTGGTAAAGGATTGCTCTGACTGCCAAATGGGGAGGCAGGGAGACCAGCAGGAGATCTGCAGTAAGACAGAGGAGGCGTTGGCTGGGAAGGTGGTGAGAAATGGTCAGATCAGGGAATTATTTTATAGGGGAAGCCAACAGAATCTGTGTGAGATTATAGATGTGGGACATGGAGTGTGAGAGATGGGTGGCCATACGTGGGGCTCTGTAAGTGCTTGTTATGTAAATAAAACAGAAAAATTGTATGCAAAGCATTTAGTACACCACGCAGCATGCAATAAACTAATTACGATCCCTGTTTATCTTTTATGAATGAAGGTGAAGGTGAAGGGCCCGCAGATCCAATGCTGGCCCCGTCCTGGCATCCTGGAATGTTACCTCTTGAGCAGAGCTACCCCTTTTCCACCAGAGCTCCTTCCCATCCCTCCCCACCCTGTCCAGTGAGTCAAAACGCCCACTTGCTCTGAGCCCTGTCTTGGCAGGGTGTGGGTCGGCATCCGATAAGCTCATTCACAACCAGCTGTTGACTTTTTGCAAGATGCCTACCCCTCCCAGAGGTATTCACGTTTTCAAAAGGCGGCAACTTATTTACTGAGTTTGGGGATGCAGTAGAATCTCTGACTGTGATTCTGAGTGGTGAAGGAGGAGGTGAAGGAGGTCATTTGATTATGGGAAGCACACAAATGACCCCTTGCAGAACTTGGGGACATTTTTGAAAGGGCCCAGCCCAGGGCCAGCCTGCATGTCTCCTCTCCCTTGCCTCACACAAAAATCCTGGGCATTTACCACCTCCTTTTACCCTGAGGATGCTGCAG